ATGCGATAAAACAACAACAAACGTAATTACAGAGTGCACCCACGACCCAAGACGACGACGACGAAGACGACGAACGCGGCGCTATAATCATAGTGCGATGATAACAAGTGTAAAGTGTGCCATAAATGCAGTAGGAAGAACGTGTAAAATAAAAAGTAAAAAGCGCTGAACTAATAAGGGACGAAGAAAAACAAAACAAACAAAAAAACACACAAATAAAAATAATAAAAAATGAATGCGAACAAAAAAGCATTACAATAAAAAAGTGACATTTGCAAAAACATTTGAGTGAGTGCTTAACAACGGAACGTTAAAAACTAGCAAGGATACCAACAAAGCGAATTAAAATAAGGAAATTGACGCAATTTTTTTTTTTTTATAAAATTCGAGAGCGTAAATAAATCCTCTAAATAAGTATCAGCAGCTTCATAAATGAGTACTCCAGCTTGAAAATTAAAAATTAAAAAAAAAACCTAAGGTATTAAGCAAAAAGCTTTAGCCACACTTAAATACTTAAAATTAAATTACTCAAATTAATTACACAAAATGATTGATGCTGCCTGCAATTATCTGAATCCCTATGCGTCCGCTTCGCTTGCCGCCGCCGCCGCCAGTATGCCGCCCATCAGCAGCAGTCATCACCATCACCATCTCCAGCAGCAGCAGCAGCAGCAGCAGCACCACCACCACCACCACCAACAACAGGCCGTAGCAGCCACTTCATTGAGTGCGGCTGCCGCCGCCGCCGCCGCCGCTGCCACATCAGCCGATACCGGTACATCAACGGCAACAAACTTTTCCGCATTGACAAGCCAAGCAGGAAGCAACCACAGCGGCAGCCACAGTCATACACATCTTAGTGGTGGCTTCACCAGCAGCGCTAGCAATTTTGCTTCGCTTTATGGCCAGAAAGGCTCAACAACAGCAACAGTAACGTCGTCGCCGGTTGCATGTAGCGCACTCGCTATGAAAATGGAAATGCAATATCCGCCACAATCATCCTCCACCGGCACGGCTTCGCCCATGTCGAGTCAACAGTCGGGTCCCTCGTCGGCGTCTGTTTCACCAACCAGCATATTTCCATCACCCGCCCAGTCATTTGCATCGATTTCCTCAAGTCCGCCTGCATCGGCAACCTCATCGTCGGTGTCGCCACTTTCCGGCTCACCGGCCACCGCCCAGGCTGTTGTCAGCGCACATGCCAGCGCAGCTGTTGCAGCAGCAGCAGCGGCCGCTGCGTCCACAACGGATCTGGGCGCGGCAGCAGCAGCAAGTGCTGCCTATCGTGGAATACCTACTCGGCGGCAGCAGCATTGCCAACACGGTGAGTTGTGATTTGTTTGTTGTAAGTTTGATTGAATTAAGGGTGGGAGGGGGGAGGGGTAGGTTGGTTGCGCTTGGTGCATGTAGTGCTGCTGGCAATGCAGGCAGCCTTGCTTGTTGTGCTTTGACTTGTGCATTTCCGTTATTTCCGTCATTTTAATTTTTCCACTTTTTCTCCCTTTTCCCTTTTTTATTTCGCCTGCAGCACACAATTTCCTATGCACAATATGCCTCGGATTACTACGGCAATGTCGGCATGTCTGCCTCGGCTGCAGCCGCCGGCGCTTGGTTCTCGCATCAGGATCGTCTTTACCAGCCGTGGTCGAGCCAGGCGTATCCGAGTTTCAATTTCGACGACATCGCCTTCCAGACGCAGCTTCAGCGGCGCTCAGTGCGCTGCACATGCCCCAACTGCGCCAACGAGATGTCCGGTCTGCCACCAATTGTCGGTCCTGATGAGCGCGGTCGCAAGCAACATATCTGCCATATACCCGGCTGTGAGCGCCTCTACGGCAAGGCGTCACATTTGAAGACACATTTGCGTTGGCACACTGGCGAGCGGCCGTTCTTGTGCCTGACGTGCGGCAAACGCTTTTCGCGCTCCGACGAACTGCAGCGCCACGGCCGCACGCATACCAATTATCGTCCATACGCGTGTCCGATTTGCTCGAAAAAATTCTCACGCAGCGATCATTTGAGTAAACACAAGAAGACTCACTTCAAGGATAAGAAGAGCAAGAAGGCGCTCGCAGCGGAAGCAAAGCAACAGGGGTCTGTTGTCAAGCAGGAGAAAGCACAAGACGCACAACAGGAAAAGTCAGCCACGGAAAGGGCGGGTGGTCTCAATAGTAATAGTACAAAGTCCTCGGTAGCGGGCCACACCAGCGCTGCATCGGCTTCAAACCCCACCACACCCAGTAACGCTACCGCGGTGTCTAAACCGAATGCGCTGCCTGCAACTTCCACGTCACGTCTCGCTGCGCCCGCGACAGCGGCAACACAGCTCCAGTTGAAAACCGAACAGCCGGATGCCACCAACGGCTATAGCGCTTACTCGAATTTGTACCATCAGGGCTCAACGCTCTTCCAGCACACGCATCCGCTAGCCAGTGCGGGCGTCTACGCGGGCGGCTTGCAGCAGCATGCGCTATCACAACAGCAACAACAACAGTCAGCCGCCGCCACCTCCTCCGCACCCTCAGCTTCCCCCCTGTCCAGCAGTGCTACGTTTGATTTGTGGAACAGCCATGCTGGCCATCAACAGCAGCAGCAACTCAGTCGCAGTGCCATACTACAGCAACAACAGTCAATGCAAGGCGCTAACGCCAGCAACAACACCAATAATGATACTACCTCATCGGCCGCAACACCGAACCTCCAGCAGCAGCAGCAGCAGCAACTACAACAGCATCAGCAGCGTCAACAACAACAACAACAGTTGCAATCCAGCTTGTCCGCCACGGCGGCGAGTAGCCAACATTATGCCGCGCTCGCCATGCAAAGCGAATCGCAGCTAGCCGCCGAATACGGGCTGACGATGAGTTCGCCCGGTGACTCCCACGGCTCCACCTCACCTGTGAATCACCACTTACACGCACCGCACCACAGCACTGCAACGCACAGCGCCGCCACCTATCCGGGACTGCTGCAAATGAAATCAGAATACAGCAGCTATCCTGATTTCGGTTCCAGCTATGGCAGCACCGGCGCATTTCACCACCACGCACCCAATCCTTGGGCGACTGCAGTCGCTTATCAACATTCTCACGCCACCGCTTGAGGAGGGAGCGCGACAAGAGTTGGTCCCATTTTAACTGGAGGTTTGGCCAGTAGCTGCTGCTTAGTAAATAAATCGCTTGTTTTGTTTTTCAATTGAGTTGAGATTATATAAAAAAAATATTCGTTATTTAGTGGCTTTTCGTTGTTGCCTGAATTTAATTTACACGAGTGAGTAATTTATAGGGATTTAATTTTAACATTTACGATTAGCTGAAAATACATCTATAGTAGATAAATAAGTTTAAGCTGATGTTTTGAATGTATGTAAATAAATTAAAAAAGTTGTAGAGGATGAATTTATTTTTATTAATTACAAGTGTATATATGTATGTACCTACCTATCTATTAGAAAATTATGTATGTAGTAATCTCTAACTTGTTATGTTCTCTTATCATGTTTTCTAAAATGATAAACGGAAAAAAATCTACCTAACAGTAATAAAATAAAGAATAAAGAAATTTACCTGCATCCAAATAAGTTTGTTTCAGTTACAATATTTTTTTCTATAAGAATTTCTGTTCTACTTGCGGCCGATCTTTTATATATGCCATAACTAGGAAGAGCTCAACTCCACGCCATGTAGGCATGCGAGAAGAGCTATCGATCGTATCTTTATATCGAGGCGGGCCTCATTCCAACATAAAGAAAATGTGAAAATATCGTTGATCTTTCCTAAAAATGTATCACATATTAATAAAACTTTGCAGAATAAAATCTCCTCGTTTCCTTTAATCTCAAGTGGGCCATTCACTACTCCTGCGCGCCATCTGGCACTGTCGCAATAGCTTTGAGCTCCTTTCAGCTTAAGTCCAGTTGCTTCGCCTCTCGATCGATATGCTTCTCCAAGTTTCGCGAGATCTGCCGGAAGCCCTGCCTCTGCCTATTAGTTGATTCCATTCCAAGACCTTCTTTGCAATACCGGCGTCTTCTGTGCACAAAGTCTAGCCTATTCAATTCCATTTCTGTCTCACAATCCAGATGTCTAGAGGGGGCTCCATGTTAGCTTTTCTGAACAACTTCTCAGTTGAGATTGTTTTAGGCCAAAAAGTTCGGAGTAAAGACATTTGTTTACGAAAACTTATAGGCGCCTAGTTATTGCAGTACGTCACTATTCCAGGTGGAACAGTCATACAGCAGTATCGAGTGCACATTGGATTTGAAAAGCTGGCTCTGGTTTTACTCTGGCCAACTGAAGTCCACAGTCGGGAAGTGGCCCCTATCAGCATCCAGCACATCCTCAATAATGGAAAGTAAGAGAAAAGGTTAGAGTATGCAAACGAAGCTGTAAGCTTCGAAGGTCTCAGATAGCTTTCTTTTGTGAAGTACCTGACACTTAGCTTCGTCGTATTCACATGGACCATTTTTTCGTCTACGGCGCAAGGCTGCCGAAAGTGAGATGAAAAACCACAAACGGATTTTTAGCTTATGTAGATAAAACGACAGATTTTTGCAACGTCGAGCAATTTGGAATCGAATATTTGTGAAGATTTTATTGGATTCGTTCTCGTTGACGACAGTTTTTTGCAAAGGCCGTAGGAAATTTCATATTTATTGGATATAGGTGTCAATTATATATTTAGGGAATAGGGCCAGAACTTAGACGCATATGCGATATTAAGTTAGGTTAGGACCGTTAGTACATAATGCATTCGTTTTTAGCGAGTTTTAATCTTTGTATACTCGTAAAGGCGCAAAACAGCGCCGACACATCGACAATGTCAAACAAAGAGAGAATGCTTCCAGCACTTGCGAGGGTATTACTCTACGTAAGATCTGTGGCCCTGTTCGAGTGGCTAAATGTCTCCGAAGTAGTTGGAATTACGAACAATACGAGTTTTATAAAAACATGAGCATAGTAGATAAATAAATAAAGATTGACGCTCTGGTAAAAAAATACTTCAAACCTTCAACGAATGCAAGGCCACCACCCATGAATGCAAAGGACCTTTTCGTAACGGAAAGTAAACAGTTGCGGTGGAAAATCGTAAGTAAGTAGTCCTCATCATTTCTGGAGTGCTTTCAATTCATTCCTGGCCATAAAGACTAAATACTTTGCCTCTCGAATGGCTCCCAGTAGCTTCCATTATCCCATGCTCTCATGGGATGGTGGGTAAGTCCGGGAACTGGAGGAATGGAGCAATGCAATTTTTCATTGATGTATTAAAATTGAATGTGGAGGGGTCTTCTACTGGTGGGCTAGACATAAAACGGGTGCCCCCTTAAAAGGTTGGTCCTAATGCCAGCTCAGATCTCGCAGTGCGATTATTTATTTATTTGCTAAATATTTTAGTTTTTTAGATATTTTTTAATAAACCCTCATAAATATTTCCAAAATTCTTCTACGATTAATTTCAGTGTTTAAAATTGAAACATCATTGAGATTCTAGGAGGTTTTGGAATATCGCTTATATTTTGTTCCCAAGGAGTGCCCATTTTTGTGGCAAAAATTAATTATGGCCAAACAAGTAGATTGTTTAACAAACCATCTCTTTTTTATTTTTGCAAAACAAAATATTTACCCTTGACGAGCGATGGGTCAAAAGGGGTCACTTGTTAACATGAAAGAGTTTGAATACAGTTTTTTTAAGTACTTTTATTGAAGAAAAAAATTCCACCTAGTTACAAATGAAATTTATAGAGTGAATAATTAAAAAAAATATTGCGAAATTATACTAATTTCAATTGAAAACCTGAATGCTCTAAATTTCCTAATTTTCCTGCTCTGAGTTAAGCAGCAACAAACATATGATTTTGTTTCCTCTCTATTGAGTTCTCCCCTCCAAATAGTTCACTACTGACAGTATAAAAAATATTTACAAAAATAGCCATTTTCTCAAAAAGCACAAAAAATAGCAACATAAAATTGACAGATTAAACTCAAAATTCTTCATTTTACACATTTTCGATAGTCTTAACACGGCCAAATACGGCCAATATTTTAAAAGCATATTCAAATGTAATTTTTGAGAAAAAATATTAATATTAAAATTATAATGTCTATAAAACAAAAGAGTTATAAATCTTTCAAGTACTTACTTTTCTGTTTATCGCTATATTTTTGGTATTTTTTTAGATAATTATATATGGTTGTTCGAAAAAAGCTAAAAAACAGAACAAAAAATCGATTCCAATATTTCACTGACAGACAACGACTTTGTCCACCTGCTAAGAAGTTTTCGTTCGTTTTTTACAAACAACAGAATACACAGTTATTTGGTTTGAAGTTTAGTTTATCAAATACCAAGGACAAAAAGTTTACTTTAGTAAGTACGAAAACCGACTTTTGGCTACATAAACTGATCAAATTACCTATAGTGGAGTGTCGTGATATCTGTACTCACCACAAGTGCAAAGTAGCCAAATCAGATTCTCATTAAAATTTTTCATTTAATAATACATCGGCTGTTAAGGCGGCTTCACCGTTCGTGTTCGGACAACTTTTTATTTGCTCTCAAAACATTTTCGCCGGAGAGATTGCTGAAGTACGGTTCACGGTCAGTGTTGCCAGGTCTTCGGCATGAGAAAACGTCCCGTTTTGTCTGAAAAAACCTCATTTCCTACCCAAAAACGTCTTTTTCAAATGTATGCACAAAGAATTGTTCTAATTAAGCTTTTATTGTATACAAAGGTACATATGTACGCAAGGTATATTAAAATGTCATTTGCTCTGTCACATTTAAAATTCATTCTAAACTGGTTTGAGATCGTTTATATAAAAATCATTTTATACATATACTTGTGATCAGCTGATTATGCCATCGATTTTGGCTGTTTCTTTTTAGTTTATTTGATGTTTATTATTTTTCCATAAAACTAGGCTTTTATTCATTCATTTATTCATTATATAACGAACAAAATATAAATTCACATTTCAAACTTTGTGCAAAAATTATAAAAATCCTGCAAAATCTCAGCTAGATTTTCAACTTTTATTCAGATTTTTCACAATTTTTCTTGAGTATACAGCTCCACTAAATTCCAAGTGCAATAATGTGCAAGTTTTAAGGAGCTAAAGAATCGCGTTGATTTTTAATATATATATGTATACTTTTTTGTCTTGTAGACATTTGGTTAAGTGGTCAGTTGTCGAAAATGCTATATTACGTTCTGTTAAGAAAGAACATAGCAATATTTCAGCCTTTTTACGTTCATTGCATTTTTCAATATGGGGCCCATGCGACTAATTCTGTCATTTTCTTTATGCGCTTAAATAAGGGTTAAGTCATCTGTGTCCAAGAAATAAATATTTTTTGAAGCAGCTGCCGTTTATTTATTTTATTAAGAAAATAATTCAAAATCAGTTCTACTTACAAGATTTAGTAACAGAGAAAAATTACTGGGAAGTTAAAAAACGTAATTTTTTACACAAAAAACGTCCAAATGACGTTAAAAACTTCAACCTGGCAACGCTGTTCACGTTTCAGTTCGGCACATTTTATTTTGCTCTGAAGCAAACAGCTAATGATATTGTTGCCTACATATGATTTTTAGGGCAAGTAACACATGCAGCACGCTGCAAACGCATATAAACGAGAATGCGGCAACCCGAATCATCAAGCCGTTCGGACAGAAAATCAAAATCAATTTTTTAATATTTTTATTTTACAAAAATAATAATAAAAATATTAAAAAATAAAATGTTAACAAGCCACAATAACATTGACAAATACAAAATCAATTTAATTCGAACAAAGAGTGTTCAGCGCATTTTTGTCGCTCTCCCAATGGGACAGAGTGGGAAAGGAACGCGTAAAATAACTAACAAAAAGTGTCCGGGCACGAACGATGAATCCGCCTTTATAATTTTCGAATAAAATTTCATCCGCTGCATATTTCTAACGATCACTCGTTGCGGGTATAGTTAAATAACATACTTCTTGAATCAATATAAAACCATGAACGCTGGAAATCTACAATGCAAACCTGGCGCAATATTATCCTTGCCCGAGTGTACGAATAAAATACTTCAATAAAAAATACTTGAGTTTGAACTTCTCCAAGACCGAAATAAGTAAAGGAGGGTTAAATCGTTTGGGCATCAGATAAAGGGTTGCGTTCTTTATCGAACAACGCCTGTGGTATTGCAAAAAATATAGAGCTTTTGAATTATGGTCAGCTTTTTTCCGGCTACTTTTACCAATGCGTGAGGGTCAAATCTCCTTAAGAACAATGAGAAAAAAAATCTAAAAGTGAAAAATTTGAACTCAAAGAAATTTCATGTCTGCTTACACAGAGATCTAACAGAATTATTACGAGTTTTAAAAATATCTAATTCGTCAATATAACCTATAATATTTGTTTTCTTTCTTCAAACATTTTTTACCGTTT